GTTGTAATGCCCTTGGCTTGCTCTTTAGGGTTGATTTCAGTGTTGCTGGGTAAGTTTCCTGGTGCTCTTCCTGTCATGGAGATAGCCATCTGTCCCATTTGTATCTCCAAATTTTTGATTGCTGTACTTTGGTCATGAAGAGTTGCATCTGTCTTTCGCATAAACTGGTTGTTTGCTTCCATATACTGATTGGTTGTTGCCATTCTCGAACATCTCTTCCAATGATGGCTTTTTATCCTGCTGCTGATATTGACCTTGTGGTCTGTTTTGATTCTGATTACTTCACGAGAAGTTTGGGTGTTTTCTCCAGCCCTGATTGAAGGTTTCCGAATGTGGGTTTTTCTGTTGGCGTTGACCCCATTGCACAAAATCTGCATGTTCGACCCCTTGTGTGAGAATTGGACAATTAATAGTGTTGTGGTCTGCTCCACATTTTTCACAGCTTGGCTTCTTGACTTGTTTTACAATGGCGGTCTGTGAAATACTCTCAACCTTATGAAACAAAGAGTCTATCTTTACAGACAATGCTAAGTATCTACTTCAAAACCCTTGGCGTTCTCTTCTGAACTACTCGATCTGTAGACCACATGGCTGAAGTTGTAGCCATTCTCTCAAATAGCTCCCATGCTCCGTTAATTGTTCTTGTGGAGATAGACCCGTCAGATGATGAATTCACCATGCTCTTGAAGGATAGAAGTAGTCCAGTGTAGAAAAATTGGATCTGTGTCTTTTTGTCAAAGCCATGTTGCAGACACTTTCTTAACATATTTTTGAAACGATTCCATGCCTCTTCAAATGATTCGGACTCACATTGGTTGAATATAGAGATATCATGCCGCATTTTGGCCACCTTAGCTGGCGAGAAGAACTTGGTGCAAAATTTGTGGGTTAGCTTGTTCCAAGTGGTGATGCTTGCGACGGGAAGTGAATCCAACCATTCAAGTGCTTTATCTCGCAAGGTGTGTGGAAACAACCGCAATCTTATAGCATCATCCGAGATACCTTGGTACCTGAAGTGTTGGCACATATCCAGAAATCGGGATATGTGTGTATGTGGGTTTTCACTAGCCATCCCGTGGTATTGATGCCCATTCTGAAAAAGTTGAGTCACATTTGTTTTCAGCTAGAAGTTCGGTTGCCCAAATGGAGGATACACAATGCTAGATTGACTTTGGACCACCAACGGAGCCATGAAGTCCCCGAGTACTGTATTCCGATCATCTTCAATTGCCATGCCTCCGTTGAGTAAAATTGCCAGTCGATTTTGCTCGTTTACCATTTGTTGGGCCGCTCTTGCTTCTCTTTGCCTATGACGGAATGTGCGTTCGATCTCTGGATCTATGGGAATCAAATCTTGATCAGGTGCTCCTTGCATATAAGCCCTGAGATTCCAAAATCAATACAAAATTAAATTGAAGTATTAATAAACTAAACCTAGTAAGCTAACTACTACTAATCTAAATAAGTTCGGATTAGTGTCACAAAAGATAAAATTAAAACTAAATTTCAATCCCCGGCAACGGCGCCAAAAACTTGTTCGCAAAATTTTGTTTATTCCGATTTTATATCCACCGCAAGTGTATGGTTCGTTAACAAGTAGTAAAATGGACTATAAGTCCAATTATCGATCCCACGAGGATTGAATTAATTCGAATTAATCTAATACGACCTTAACCGAAACAAGACAAACAAATTGCGTTTTTATACTTTAACTAACAAAATGTAATCGTTGATGCAATTATGGACGCAGAATTATACTAAGTTCAAAGTAACTTGGATGCAATTTAACTAAAATTTTATATAATTAATGGACGTTCTAACTCACTAGGATCACGAATCCCCAAGCAATACCCGTTCAATAGTCATTTATGCAAATTTGACACACAATTCCACAAAAGATGAATCGATATTCCTATTTTAATTTAGCAATCTCTCTCGAGCAATGCCAAACCTATCCCAATATATGATTCGACTATATTTCTATGACGAATACTAATATACCGACATGCATTATAATTCACGAATATCAAATGATTTACACAAGGCATAGATGTATATTTCTTCCCTCTATCGGACCCTATGACGATTTGTACTATGTAAAACCTATTTTCCTTCTTTCGAATGCATAAAACAAGTCACCACAATCATATAATCACGTGCACAATAATTATATGAAAATAAAAACGAAATAAATCAATCAATTCCGGAATTTGTGTTCACATACGTCAAAAATCCAAAACAACAATTAAACGTAGTATTACAAGGTTCATCGATCTCCTAGTGATGATAAATTTAGCCTAACATGCTAAAAAGAACAAAACTTAAAAGTATTTGAAAAAACGAGATCACCCGAATCAATATTCAATCCGATCTTCAATTGGCGCAATGTTGTTCTCTTGTTCTCTCCCTTGTTTCTTCTTCAAAATCTTCCAAAAACATGTAAAAACGGCATCCCCTTTGTTCTGGTCGAGTTTTTGTATTTATAGGACCCTAAAATTGTTGTTTCCATAAGAGTTTCGGAAAAAAAGGAAACTAAATTTTTTCCAAACTTTTGTTCTATGCGACCGCATCGAGCAATTCTATGCGGTCGCATAGAAGAAATTTTTCATCACTCTTTGATTTCGGTATGGTACTATGCGACCACATAGTACTATCAACTATGGAGAAATTGCGTTTTGGTCCTCCCACTTGCATCCTTCACTTCTTAGCATCTTCTCTTAATTCTTTTCATTTCATCACCCCACGATATCGTCAATTGGTAATTGGCCTAATCGATTTCTCGATTTGTTTATCGGATCAACTTTTGGATGTTTCAACTTTGGTCTCTGGAACTTCACTTTCAATCATTTTGCTCGTATTTAAGCCATGTTTGTGACCTAAATAAGTGTGCAAAAACACACTTATCAAATCATTTTTAGTCAGAGGTCATAAACCCATCCAAATACAAGACATCACAAAAAGTCTCCACCTTCAATGTGTTTCCATGTAGTCTTTGTCAGCCTGCAAGTGCTTTCACTTGGAGTTCTGAACATTGATAGGCTCGAAATAATGGTTGAACGTTACCAATCCAAACAATTAGCGAACGTCTCTTCAAGCTGATTTCCCTTGCTCCTTGATAGTAAAACATTGATGCAAATAAGAATGATAAATTCTAACATTACGACGTACACGTCATAGAACCATCAGATTTTCTTCCCTATTTTGTTATTAAAGAAAAATTATACAAAAGAGAAAACATCTTTAATCAAATAATTTAAAGGGCATTAGCATAATTCACGTAAAATTAAGTATAAGCAAACATCATTATATAGCTTTACAGTTTCTGAATGGACACCTAATACTTATTAGCTTGGATCTGAGTTGTATGCTCAACTACTTCCTGTTATTTGAACTGTTAGTATTGTACTCCAACAATCTCTTTGTTCTCAATTATTTGACGCTGTCACAAAGTTATATGTTTACATCTATATTTCTGTTCTTTTATTTTTCCAATACATGGTCACATAAATTGGATTATCTGCATGTAACCACCAGATGAATAATTTATAGGTTAATGATCATAACCTAGTTGTTAAAGATTCCATGGGAAAGATTATTCAGTCACAATATGTGGACTTGGACAATGTTACGAGCAACCTGAGAAGCTTCTATGTCAAGGCATATACTGGAATTTCACCTAAAAAGGCTCCCAATTACTGGCTTTTCTTTCAAGCATCTGTGCCACCCCTGGGATGGAATACTTTCTTCATTTCTAAAACATCTCAGAAAGGTACTAGTCCTACCTTTTTCTGAACAATATTCCCTTCTTTGAGATGTTACTACATTCAATTTCTGATTAGAGGCACTCTTTATAACTCTCGTTCATGTAATAAAATAGAAAATGATGTCATTAAGTAAAAGAGCTATGTCATGGTACTCTTACTTGGACTTTGGATTGTCAAAGTGCTAAAGATCGTTACTTTTTTAATCTTCAACTCTTTATGTATATGGTAAAATGATGTTTAACATAACAAAAACTGATTTAGAATGCTTATTCAACGCCATTTATATTGTTATAGAATTTATTCAGCATTTTTATGTACCTTCTGAGTTTATGATCATTGGAAAATCTATGAGATGGATACCGGACTCGTTGTCTGATTGCCAATTGTCTAACATGGGTAACTATGCGTTTAGAAGAGTTGGAGTAACATAGTTTCTTCTGCAATGATGCAGGAAATGGTAGAACTATGTATGTGTCTACGATGGAAAGTCCAAAAGAAGAGACAATTGAAATTGGGCCAGGAAACTTTAAGTTGTCCTTTTCTACAGCATCTGGGCAACTTAAACGCATGTTCAATTCTAAATCGAGGGTAAGAGCCCACAGTAAAATGAGTATGATATTTGTTTGATTCTCTGTTGCACTGGTATCCAGCATTTGCAGATGATCCTTGGGAATGAATGTCAGTGACATTGAGATATGCTGATTGAAAATCAGGAAAGCCCATATAAATTCATTTTCGAGAAACAACTCATTTTTTTATGACTTGTAATGATAAATCATTGCTGTCTTGACCATTTCCATGTTCAATATAAGTGGGTTTTTTCTTTTTTGTGGTGGGGGGGGGGGGGGTTCTTTTTTTTGGTGGGGGGGGGAGGGAGGGGGGGCTTTGTAGAATTGCCCCAATAATTCTTATCAGCATGATAAAGAACCGATTTTTCTACAAAAGTTTGATGAAATTTATCAATCAATTCTTGCCTTTTGGGCTTGTTCGTACATTTTGTGAAATTGAGGCATTTGTGAATCCATTGCATATTACTAAAAACTTTAGAACATTATGCACATTTTGTTATGCCATTCTTATAACTTAGCCCCTGTTTGTGGGGATCAAAATCAGATATTTAGCAGATTTTGATTAAAATTGATGAAATGTATGATTGAAAAATTGTGGATCCCATAAAATATGTAATTTAAATTAATTGTTGGCTTTGACTTAGATTAAAATTTAGATTTTAATTTCAACCAAATAGTGAGTAAATAACCTTTTCCAACCACTGCCCATTTTTTGTGATGCCAATTATTATTTCATACTGGTAGACTAGTATTAGATGATAACAATTTTAATGGCATGATAGGATTTGAGTGAAATTATTAGACAGAACAGAAACTTCACGAACTTAAGTCTCCTTTCATGCCCATGCTCATGCTCTGGGTAAAATTTTTTAGTGTGTGAGAGTACTACTGTAGAATGAAAGTGATATTTGCACAAGTTTTTTACTGTGCTTATGACCATTATACACAATAAGCTGTCTTAACATCATAGTTATTCAATATGCTCTCTTTATCTTAATTACGTTTCTATAGATTTGTTAAATGCTTTCAGTGTAAGAGATATGCACACCAAGATGTCTAATGTTTTCTTTTTTATCTTTTTGAGGGCGGGGGCATTTAATAAGTTATTTAGCTGCAATTTATGTGGAATCATTTAGTTCGGTCTCTTATCTGATAAGCTTGAGAGTTTTCTTAAAGAAATACCCTCTTTTACATGACTAATGTGACTTTACTAGATTGATATACCAGTACAACAAAGCTATCTTTGGTATGCTTCAAGTCCGGGAGATGCTGATCCCCAGGTAGACATACAGTCACTTTTATCTAATACATTATGAATCGACTAGTCCTACATTTAAATGGATCCAATAATTGCTGTGTTAATCATATCATCTCATGCAGAGTTCCGGTGCATACATTTTTCGACCTAATGGATCGCCGCCTCAAGTTGTCTCGAGATCAGTGAGTGATCTTTTCTCTAGCTAAGAATAGTTGTTTCTTTAACTGTATAGGTGTTCCAAGTGATTCTAAACCTTCCAGATCAGTGGA